CTCAGCCTAGGATAGCTCTTTGCTCCAAGCCATTTGACCATACCATTCTAAATCCTTGTTATGAACCAAAAGCAGTATATTGTACTTCCTCTGTCCCATAATATAAGATTTTCTAGCAAAAAGCACAGGATTTAATAACGATATAAATTTAATTTTGTTTTTGTTTTTATAGCCTTAAAAGTATCATTTAATATCTAACTAAAACTATATCAACCAATAAAAAATGACTGCAGAATATAAATAGTCACATGCAATAAATTTTGCATAGAAATCTGTAAAACATCTTATAAAGTGGAACAAAAAAATGATACTTAAACATCTTATATAATGGGACGGAGGGAGGTTTTTTTTTTTGTGTGCACAACTTTCATTCATCAATCTAAACGAACAGAGTACAAAAGTAAAGAAGAGTTATCAAAACTGTTTGGCGAATACAATAAAAATCTTGAACAAAGGAGAGATTAAAACGTAGTAATATTCTTGATAGATTGACAGTGAATCCGTTAATCTTCGAAGACTCGAATTAAGAAGCATTTTGTCTAAATAAGAATTTGGATGCATCGATAGGACAATCACGACAAAACTGGAATGTTGGAGATTGGTCACTTTAAATTGTAACGCTGAAAAACAGCCTAAGCTACCAATTCTCGTCGAGACGAAAACCGTTAGGAATTTCAAAAGTTTTCTCAAATTTGAAGTCTGAGAAGAAACCCCTTTTGAAAAGAGGACAAGTAATGAAATGATTATCTCCCCTAAAAAGAAGGAGGGTGGAAGTGATCTCTCCCAAAGGAAGAAAATTGAAGAGAAAGATCTCTTTTTGATAGATGATGTTGAGTAGGTTGAACCATCATGGTCAACACTTTTTAGATGATAAGCTGTATATTGATTTGTTACGGGAAAGACTAAACTAAAAGTTCATTTTTTCATCAAATCAAATATTATATCTAGAGACTAGAGATTCAGCCATCTCGTCTCCTCCAATAATCAGTTCACAAACTTGCAATTTCATTCAACAGTTA